TCCAATACCAAAGAAGAGACACTGATCAGAATATGTACAAGAGCCTTAATTTCAATGCTAGCAAAATGATGCTTAGGATCATCTGACACAGATCAAAGCCTTTCGTGGAAAAAGACATGCTAGACGTTCAAGCTGGCTTTAGAATGTGAAGTATTATTGCTGATGCATACTGGATAATTGAGAAAGCCAAAGTATACCAAAAAGAAATTTATATGTGCTTTAATAATTATAGAAAGGTCATGTGCCCATCATGTCAAGCTGTGCAACGGGCTTAGCAAAATGTGGATCTTACAATATCTCATTGTCCTCATGTCCTCTACGAGTTCCCTTAGCACACAAGGCTGCTGTTCACTCATGGTTGGATTCTGCCATATCACCTCCAATTATTTTGCCTCCCCTTAATTTATTTTGGCAAGTCAAGCCTTATTTCCTTGGAGAAGGAGCCACTGACATCTTTTTAGACAAAATTGTGGTGTACCAAAAATCTAGATGTTATGATGTCTGGAAAGATGGGGTGGAGAACTCTATTCTTCTGGAGAAGCTTTGTAACACACAACCTGGCTCTGCAGCCCAGTGGGTTTGTGGTAAGACACATTGTGTGACATCCCAAAAGCACAGCAGCAATTTGTGCATATTTGATGAAATGAACTTTGAGTGGATTTTACTTGCAACAGGAAAGGCATCAAGCTGTTTGCTGTGTCCTTGATATTCTCCACAAGTTATTAAAAGATAATAAGCAAAATTCAATGGGAAATTACAAAAGTGAGGTAATCACAGAGAAGAGGGGAGGGGAGGGAAGGAGAAGGGAAGAAAAAAGAAAAGAAAAAAGGGAAGGGAAGGGAAGGGAAGGGAAGGGAAGGGAAGGGAAGGGAAGGGAAGGGAAGGGAAGGGAAGGGAAGGGAAGGGAAAAGAAATCTGGCAGATTTCAAACCAGCATTTTGTATTACAAGGCAACGATTATAATCATTGTGCTATTAAAGCATCACGGTAAAAATCTTACCCATCAACTCAGTTGAGGGGTGTTCCTCTCTACAAAGTAGACATTGAAGAGTTGGGGTCACCAAGTGAAGTGCAGCAGCTGAAAAAGGCAAAAGCATTTGAGGCAACCTAAGCGAGAGTGGGGGGTAACTATTTTAAAACTGATGTAGGAAGATGTGACAGGAGGAAGAAAGGTCCCTCGTGACGCCTGTCCCTGAATCTTGACACCAGTTGCAACGGGCTCCTGGCTCTAAGCCCTTTTTCTTGTATGTTTCACCCCCCACCAGGTGAGGTTGAGTTATGTTCCAATGCTTAATTGGGTTGTTGACTCACTAAAGAAAGTCTGATGATGGACTTGCCTCCCCTCCCTTCTTTGTAATTTTGAAAATTTATCTACTGGATTACTTTTTTCAGTGTCCTGCTGAGAATACAAATTGAACAAAATATTCAATTTTGTTTTCTAAATAATCTTTTATTTTTAAAAGATTTTAAACAGAACATAAAAATCAACACAAACTAATACAGAACACAAAAAAAGAAAAAGATAAAAGAAGAAAAGACAAAAGTGCAGGAAAAAAAAGAAAGAAATAGAAAGAAAGCTTCTGATTCCCTTTGCAGCAAATTCAAGCAAGGTTAGAAAGTTCTCTCCCAAATACAGTAAAAGGCTCACTTTTTTAGTGTCTATTTTTTTTTCTAATCATCAAAACTCCAAGTCATGTACATTTTTTTTCTGTTTCATGCAAAAAGTCTATAAGGGGCTTCCAGACAGCCATAAATGTAGATACTGGTTTTTCTCTAATCAAAGCGGTTACTTTAGCCATCTCCCCAAGTTCCACCATCTTCACCAACCATTCCTCCATTTGGGGTGATATTGAACCTTTGTACTGTCCAGCATGTAAGAGCCTTGCTGCAGTTGTCATATATAAAAACAAAGTTCTTTTGCCAAGTTGCCTGTCCCTCAGTCCTCAAAGAAAAGCCGCTGCTTTCCATTCAGCAGAGACAATCCGGAGTTTAAGAATCACCAGCCTGTTGCCAGTTGTGGGAAAGGTACTGAGTCACCTACTAAAGATTCAGAAGACAGCAGCTCGCCCGCGTGGCCAGTTTCATGCGTGGAAGAGGATGTTGTGTCTAACATCCTGGAATAATTGGTCAGGGATACTCCTGGCAGGGGTGCAATCTTACCGGTTCGGCCAAACCGGTAACAATGATTGCCATTGGTTTGGCAAACCAGTAGCAATCATCCCTGGTGGCCCCGCCCATGCCCACCCACTCGCTGCTTCTGGCTGCTCGGCCAACCCACCCCTCCTGCCCTATATAAGTTTCCCAGCTACTCGCCTTGCCAGTTGCCTGCTCAGCTCACCAAAGGTAAGCAATGCATGCCGCCTGCTCACCTTTCACCTTGGGCCCAGGGACATGCAATTCCCCGAGTCCCCAGAACTGCCACCCGCCTCAACCAGGTCGGGGAATGCACCATTCCCTGGCTCCGCCCTTGCCCTAGAGCCTCCACCCACTCACCGCCTGCCTCGACCAGGTCAGGGAATGCACCATTCCCTGCCTCCAGCCTTGACCTGGAGCTGCCGCCCACTTCCCACTCTCCCTTTGTGTCCTTGCCTTCCTCTCACAGCTGGCTGCCAGGGAAGGCAAGCCAGGGCTGAACTGTTGCTGCTGGGCTCCCCGCCAGCCCGCATCTCACCCCCCCCCCACTTGTTGAGAGATGCCTGCAGCCGTAGGCTCTTTTTTCGGTACACCTGGAGATGCTTCTTGTGCCGAAAGATGCAGTGGCTGCAGGCTTGTTGTAGCAAAACGTACCACATTTGTTGGCTTTGTAGTGTCCCCTGGCCTTTGCTACGAAGCCTCTTTGGGCAGCAGGCCAAAAGAGAGACCCTCCTCCTGCAGCGGGCATGGCATGGAAGGGATGCCACAGTCCTTCTTGTCCTTATGGCGAAATGTCCAGAGAGCTCATCTCATGGACTGACGTGAGCAAAACCTACTTTTCATCTCTCTCACTGCTCAATAGTGTGATCGATGCAGCCATGTGTAAAGACTTTGCTGGTCAGCCTGTGTCAGATTTGGACAAGATGAATTCATCTCAGATCTCATGTTTGCTGATGACAGCATGATTTTGCAAACAGCAAAAGAGAAGTCTGTGACATCCTCCTCAATATAAAAACTGCTGATTATTCATCAGAATTTAAGTCTCCGTACTGACAGCACCAGGCTGTCCGCAACTGATGCCTTCCAGGCAGCCATCCAGTTTGGTGAAGCACAGCCTGGGCAGGCTGAACAATTCCAGTAAAATTCAGTTCAACCTTCCTAAAGTAGCAGAAAGTAGCTCCCCCAGCCAATGGCAGCAACTGGACTGGCCAGGCTGCCAGCTGTTTGCAGCAGTGACAGGGGGTCTCTGGTGAAAAAACAGAAGAAATGTTCCACCAAAAGGCTCCTCTGTCCATCATTGATGCTACCAATAGTGTGCAGAATCTTGGACTTTGCTTTAAAATAATTTGAAAAAGGTTTCCAGATGCACCACTGACACCAAATATATTAAGGATTTTAATCTGCGACAAGATACAGAAGGAATCAATTCAAGAATGCTGCTGCACCAGCCCAGGGCAGCTGAATGAAGTTCAAAAGCATCAAATATAGCAGTTTTGATACACCTGCCACATGGCGTCATGCTGACTTCCTCATGATTGCTCTGGAAATCACACTCTATGGTTGGAAAGTAGAGTGATCGGATCCAATGAAAACTTGGGTGGAAGAGGATCTCATGAAAGACGGACTCTTGGAGGCTGCAGGTTGCCCTGTGAACTCCAACCACACACAACAAGGTGAGGACTTCAAGTTCACATTCATCCCTCAGTTGGTCAGAAAATATAGATGGTACATTCCTGGAACATGCTTGGAGAAGCCAGCAAGTGAAGCAATGAGAATCTGAGCTATTCTGACCTCTCTCTCAAGCGATGGGTTGCAGCTCATGAGAGTAAGGAAGTGGGTGACTGACAGTTGACCTGGAGAGCTATAATCTGTATGTTGTGTGAGTGGGAGAAGCGAGCCCAGAACATGTTTCAACCCCAAGAACAGGAAGATGATTTAAAGTGGTACACAAGACATGGAGGAACCCAATAATGAGCAGGGAATACAGAGAAGTATTTTCAGTCTTTCCATGCCAAAACATGATCATGGAAAACAAACATGAAGAACTGGATGTCTTAATGCAGGGAGGCTAAATACGATTTAGTAGGAATCGCTGAAAACGGACAGGATGGAATACATAAATGACATTCAAATATTTGAGAGCATAGCTTATTTTTTTAAAAGGTGGGGGGAGAAAGATGCATTATAGGTGAAGGAAATGTGTTGATCTGAACCTGCATATTTGAGTTAGAATGCAAGGAAGATCAATGTCATTGTGGCCTGGACTAAAAAACTGGCAGGAAATCTGGGCAATGCCCTCCAGATGACAAGCATCATGATCACAGTGGGATACCAACTCCTTACACAGCTGTTAGAATCCAAAATCAGCCAAGATGGCAAGATTCCCCCCTCCCCCATTTATTAGTGCTCTTGCTGGTTTATTTTCCAGATTTTAAGACCAGACAAATGGATTGGTACTTAACCAATATGGAAAAGCTTTCCGAAGAGATAAAAGCAATGGGAATTTAGGGAGAAGTCAGATCTTCTTGGGGGTTTGAAGTACTACAGAAAAGTATTTGGAACATAGCTATACTTACACACTAGGTTTCAGTAGAACCACCTCCAACGACTCAGAGCAGTACTAAGTAGTTTGTGTCTAGATCAGGATAGAAAGAACCCAGGGCTGTTCAGAAATCCTTGAACGTCTGATCCTGGAAGTACAGCTTTAGGAAAGAGGTCTAAATGGCACCTCAGGCTGAATTGTTAAGAGGGTCATTAATAGGGAATAAAGCATGGATGTTGTGACTTATTTCTAGGATTTTACCCAATAACTCCAACACAGGATGCAGTGAATCAATTCTCTTTATTAATCAATGTTTCATTTACAGGTATGTGGCTGGAACTGACCTCTGGATGCCTGGACCATGTCTTAAGTACCTGGGAGGCGGAGCTGAGGTAAGGAGGAGTCGGGGAGGATCTAGGTGGATATGGTGTTAACCCTTATCATGCCTGGGGATGGGCAACGGTGGGCATTTATACACAACAAATCCCCCTCTAAATGCCCAACAGTTGCACCTGCTTGTGTGTTTTGCACCCGGACCCCTAATTTAGACGTAAGGTAAGCATGCTGTTTACTTGGTAGAGGTTTGGTCAGGATGTCTGCGGCTTGCTCGGCGGTCTCACAATGTACAGCCTTAATAAAACCAATGTTCGTTAATTCTCTGACATGCTTGTGCTTAATGTCTATGTGTCTGGCCTACTTCTTCTGCCATGGATATGTCTATGGCTGCCTTATTGTCCTCATGTATTACTATCGGGTAGGCCGGTTCGGTCCAGATGCTGGTAAGCAGGTCGTCAAACCATATCAGGTTGTTAGCTGCTTTGGAGAGACAGATGTATTCTGCCTTGGCTGTGGAGGTGGCCACCAGGTTTTGTTTCCCGATGTACCAATGTACTGGGCAGCCGTTGATAAGAAACACATAGCCAGATGTGCTCTTTCTACTTTTTGTGTCGCCTGCCCAGTCAGCGTCGGCATAGGAGGTTAGGATGGGTTCTTTGGACTTCTCTGGCTCTAGGTTCAGGTATGCGTCCATGCTGTGTTTTAGATACCTGAGCACACGTTTCACACCCTCCCAGTGGTACATCTTTGGATCGCTGACATGTCTGGATAGCAGGTTGACTGCCAGGAGGATGTCTGGCCTAGTCCAATTAGCTATATACAGTAATGACCCAACAACAGACCTATAGAGGGTATTGTCCTTGAAGGTCTCGCTTTCCTCATTCATGTGTTTCAGGAAGTCAATGTGTATGGGTGTATCGCATGGCTTGGCTTCCTTCATGTTGCATTTGATTAACAGGTTCAGTATTTTCTCCCTTTGGGAGATCCTGAATCCCTTCTGAGTTCTATCAATCTGGACACCCAGGTATTTGTTCACCTTTCCCAGAGTCTTTAGGGCAAAATGTTTCCCCAACTGATTGGCAAACTTGTCACAATTTTGTTTATGCTGACCACAGTACAAAATGTCATCCACGGAGATGAGTACGTACTCTATGGATGTGCCCTCCCTCTTGGTGAAAAAGCATAGGTCGGCAGAGGTGGCTGTGAACCCCATGTCCTTGAGGATCTTTGCTAGGCACTCGTACCACCTCTTACCGGACTGTTTCAGCCCATACAGACTTTTGTTCAGTAACCACGTGTCCTCCCCTTGTGTGTTTCTCCCCGGGGTGCCCTAACAAAGATCTCTTTATCTAGCTTCGCGTGGAGGTAGGCTGTCTGCACGTCGAACTGGTAGACTTCTAATCCTAGGATTGTGGCTACTACCAGAGCGCTTTTTACACCCTGACCGTGGGTGAGTACGTATCTGTGTAATCCTCCGGGTACCTTGTGCTACTAGCCTAGCTTTGTACAGTTTTTTATTGTCCTCTAGTTCTTTGATTTTGAAAACCCATTTAGTCCCGATGGCTACCTTGTTCTCTAGTACTCTGGATGGGGTATACACGTTTAAATCTTTCAGGCTGTTCATCTCCTTATCTATGGCCTCCTCCCATCTGGCCCTTTCCTCTCGTGGTAACCTAAGAATGTCCTCGTAGGAGTTGGGTGTTGTGGTGCCTGTGTGTATTGAAAGTATGTAATCGTCGAATCTTTTTGGCATTTTGTTTCTGTTGTGTCTTATGGGTCTGCTGGGCATTGTTTCTGAGTCGTGCATGTGTTGGGCTTCCCTCTCTGTGAGTGCATCTACTTTTACCTTTATGATGGGGTGGTTCTCCTTCCATTCTTTGGTGGTTACCCCTTTGTGTTTGGGTTTTTGTTTCTCGTGTGTCTCGTTTTCGGTTGTGTCTGGTTTGTTGTTGGTTCTAACATTGTCATTGGCTCCTTGTCCGGGCAGTACCTCATTGAGGTGTATTCTTGACCAGTTTGTGTTCTCGTGGAACACAGCTGATCAGGACACGACAAATCTGTTGTCCTTGTCAATAAATCTGTACCCCTTGGTTCCGGACTCGTACCCCATGAATTTTAGTCTCCTTGGCACTTTGTCCCCTTTTCTCCTTAACTGTCTGGGTATATGTACATCCGCAGTTACCCCAAATATGTGTAGGTGAGCTATCTGGGGCTTCCTATTATACATGACCTCATAGGGAGTTTTGTTCACTACGCTTTACCATATTCTGTTCAGTGTGTAATTTGAATATGTGAGTGCCTCTGCCCAGAAGCGTTGCCCCAGCCCAGCGTCTTCTAGGACGCACCTTACCATTGTTTGTAATACGCCATTCCTGCATTCTGATACTCCGTTCTGGAATGGCGAAAAAGGCGAAGAGGAGAAGTGTAATATCCCGTGTTTCTTTGTCCAATTGGAGAAGTCCCTTGATAGGAACTCTGAGCCTCTATCTGTCATAATTTGTTTTATTTTTATGTTATGTTGAGTTTCTACCCTCTTGTAGAACTCTTTAAATTTTTGGAACACCTCACTTTTGTGATTGAGGGTGTACACAAATCCGTAACGGCTATAGTCATCGACTATGGTTAGGAAGAACCTCTTCTTGTATTTAATAGAGGGTCTCATGGGTCCCACCACGTCCATGTGAACTAATTGGAATATTGAATTGGTGGTGCGGGAGGCCTTCTTGGGCCTTGGTTTGGTTTTGATCTTTGAGCATTTGCACACAGAACACTCCAAATAATTTTTACAGTTCTTTAATAGTAAGCCATTTGAACATTCATTCATTTTTTGTACCGTTGGAAAACTAGCGTGGCCTAATTTTCTATGTAGTAGGTGGGCACACTCATCATGAATGAGTTTGCCAATGTGTGGTTTCTCTATGTGTGTTGTGTCTGAGGTGGGTTTGCCTTCTGCAGTATGTTCTCTTTCACCCCCTCTAGTTTCCATGGGTGTACTTGTCTCTTTCTCCTTACTTTCTGGGTTAGTGTTTGTGTTTGTGTGTTCTTGGGGTACTAAGTATGTGAGTCCCCCTTCTATGATGATTTTTCCTATGTTTTTCTTTCCTTTAGTCATGTATGCTTTCCCTTCCTTGAATGTTGTCTCAATGCCCAAGTCTCTACTGAGCTTGAGCGTGGCTAATATATTGTGGGGTATCTCAGGGATGAGTAGCACCCCCTCTATCTTCCCTATCCCATTTATGTGTGCGCTTCCTTCTCCTGTCACCAATACCTTGTTCTGATTGGCTACATTGATGTGATATTCCTTTGGCGTGAATGACTTCAGTATGTTTTTGTTATTGGTGGTGTGGTTGGTGGCCCCTGAGTCAATGAGCCATGTGTTCTTTCCTTTTGTTTGGGTGTGTGAGTGTTGGTGGTCCCTGAGTTCGTATAGTGACCCAGTCTGGCTATCCCTGGAGCTATCTCTATATCCTCTCCTATCCCTGGGGTTGGGTGAGTCCCTGCACCTGAACCTGCTCTCTGGGGAGCGCCTGTCTGAGTGTCCTGATTTGCGGCCCTGTCTTTCCCTACGATAGCCGTAGTCTCTGTCCCTCTGGTTTCTGGGACAATCTCTCCTATAGTGATTCCTAGAGCCGCAGTTAAAGCATTCTGGTTTGTCTTGGTCCCTGGTCTGAAAGTCTACCCTTTTTGTTGGTCTGTTCTCCCTACGGCTTGATGAACGGTCCCTTCTTAGGCTGTCCTCCGCTATCAGCCTGTTGGATAATGTCTCTAAAGAGAAGTGCTCTATGTTGAGGCTATCCAGTTGCATAATAAAGTTTTCCCAATTGGGGTCTAGAGAGTTTATGATGATGCTTTTCATGCTATCATCAGATATGGTTTCCCCCCTTTGTATGAGTTCTGCCCTGGTGGTGTTTAGCTTAAGTATGTGCTCCCCCATGGGTGTCCCTGCCTTATGCCTGGGTGAGTAAAATTCCCTGGATATTTTGGTTGTTGTGGCTGCACTTTTGCTGTAGAACAAATTAAATATTTTTTGTAATATCTCTGCCACGGTTAAGTGGCGACCAAGACTGGGGTAAATGCTGGGTGACAAGCTAGACATTAACAGATAGTAAGCCCTGTGGTGTAAACAGTCAATCTCAAAAGTCCATGGTTTCTTTGGTGGGTCATCAAATAAATACAACATATTTTCCTTTAGAAAAACAATTTGGAATTGATGGTTCCACTCCAAGAAGTTAGACCCATCTAATTTCAATTTGTGGTTGTCAGCAGTAAAAGTTATGTTACTTACAGTCTGGTGCTGTCCATGGTTCTTTATGTGAGGGAACTCGCAATATGCTGGGGGAATGCTTGTTGCTAGTCTGAATGGATTTATCTCTATGTTCTCTTTTCTTCCTATAGGTGGCGACTGGGCATGTGCGAGGCTCATTTCGCACTGCAGGTCGTCGGGAGAGGAGCTCTCTGTTGCTGGCGTCAAGCCTAGACCTAGGCTTGCTGCTGGGAGGTTGGGCTCACCCCTGGCAGGCCCGTAGCCCTCCCTGGATGGCGGAGACTGTGGCTGGGCCTCTGGATCCCCGGCAAAGAACGGGAGCAGCTGGGGTGGCGAGCCAGTCGTAGGTCGAGGACTCCTGGAGCTCGGCGGTGCAACAGCGGTGGTGGACATAAGTCGAGGACCTTCGGGGATCTTGGGTGCGGTGGCGGCAGCGGCGAAGGCGGCGGCAGCGGTGGACCCTGGGCGACGTTGGAGGACCTCCGGATGGGTCAGGAAGCCTGGTGGAGGCCACGTGGCTGGTGAGTTGTTGTTTCTTCTCCTTATTCCGCGGCCTATGGAAGTTGGTGCAGCGGGTGGCGAGTGTGAATCCTGTGGGTATTCAGTCCTGCAGGCGGTCGGGTCTTGGTTGTAGTTTCTGGGGTGCGTTGTCCCACATGGTGTCTGCTGGGGTGTTGCAAGGGTTCCGGTGGCTACCCTGCTGCTCTTTTGGGGTTGTTGAGCATCGGTTTGTTTCTTTCTGGTTGCTGGAGGCTTGAGTGCTGAGCCAAGTGCTGCAGCCAGGTTCTCGATTGCTTCATCTGCTTCGGCTCGATGCTTGCGATCTTGCTTCGGTGTTATTTTTGGGTTCTTCCCCATCAAAGTTGGGGTTCTCGTTGTTTTGCGCCATTCGGTTTGAATCTCGGCTTCCCATTGGCTGTTGGCCATTCCAAGATGGCCACCGAGAGCATGGCGTGGAAATGAAATCTTCCATGTCCAGAGCTTCAGCTTGGGGATACCTTTCCCTTGCCGGGCTGGTGATTTCTTTTCTTTGTTGCTGGATGCTCATCGCTGCTCTATTGCTTTCGAGTAGGCTATGGAGTTTCGCGATGAGCTCCTCTTTGCTGGCAGTCACTTCCATCATTTCCAGGATGGTGGATCGGAATTCTTCATTGCTCGGTGGCTCTGCCCTTTCGCAGTAGTAGGTTTCTTCTCTTGGCCCTTCATCTCTGAGTAGTGGACTCGGGTTGTAGTCTTCATCATCTTCGGTTGTGGCGATCCTCGCTGTGGCACCTTCGAGAGCCTGCAGTTCTTTCATCTGTTTGGTGTAGGCTCTGGTGGCCATTCTTTTCTCTGCCCCTGTCTGGGTTCCTGATTCTGCCATCTCTGTGAGTTGTGGGTAAACCATCCTCTGCTACCAACTTGTGACTTATTTCTAGGATCTTACCCAATAACTCCAACACAGGATGCAGTGAATCAATTCTCTTTATTAATTAATGTTTCATTTACAGGTATGTGGCTGGAAGTGACCTCTGGATGCCTGGACCATGTCTTAAGTACCTGGGAGATGGAGCTGAGGTAAGGAGGGGTCAGGGGAGGATCTAGGTGGATGTGGTGTTAACCCTTATCATGCCTGGGGATGGGCAACGGTGGGCATTTATACACAACAGATGTCATCTCAGGGAAGAATATTAGCAAATAGCAGATATCTGCAGAAAGGTAGAAAGGCTAAATGTGGAAGGAATGCAGGCTCACAAGGAAAGCAAAGAACCAAAGCAAGCAAAGAAGGACTTTTTTTGTTGTTGTGTCATCATTAAAAGCAAGAAGAAGGACGGCGTGGCCCAGCTGCCAAGAGAAGACGGTGCAAGAGAAACAGACAACAAGGAGAAACAGATATCCTAAACTCCTATTTTGCTTCCAATTTTTCCCCAAGGGAACTGAGTTCAACTGGATTTATGCTGAGCAGCTGCCCTATGGAGGAGGTGGCCATCCAAGACAGTCGAGAGACGGCCAAGCGGTCAGGCTTCTTGGGAATAGTTGAAGTCTCCAGAGCCAGACCAAGGACTGAATCCAAGTTTCAGTCTGGTTGAAGTTAGGGAAAACATCCTGAGAAGGAGCAGCTCAGCAGTGAACCAGTTGCAGTTTGCTGGACTGGAGAATTTTTGCTGGCCTATTCAGTTTTGTATCTTCTGCAAATCCAATAAACATTCCCTCCACCTCTTCATAAAACATTGCAGAGTCCTGAGCACAGGATTCATCCAATAGCCTTTCCCTTCATGCTTGTCTCCAACTGGCTTATGAGGCCTCTTCAGATCTGTTGCAATATTTTCAGGATCAGACTCAATAAAGATAATAGGAGTTAGAGCTTTAAATATATTTCTTTTTAATTATGATAGGCATTCTATATTCACTGAATATTCAAGGTAGAAGCGACGAGAATGGTGAGGGTGGCTCCTTATATATACAAGGGGTGGAGCTAGGAATGGGAGTGGTAAGTTATGAATACATTAAAGTCCAAAGAATAAGTTAACCTCTGATGTTCCATATATACATTATTTACACATTGGAGAATAAGGCATTTACATCTGACAAATCCCCCTCTAAATGCCGGTTCGTTACACAACACCAATTACATTCTGATTCAGGACAATATAATACATATAATTTAGAAGTTAAATATTTGTGTTGTTTAGAAGGTAAGGGTTTTGTTAATATGTCAGCTAATTGTTCAGAAGTATCGCAATGTATTGCTTTAATGAATCCGTCTTGAGACAGTTGTCTCACATGCTTAAACTTTATATCAATATGCCTGGACCTTTGTCCAATTGCATCGGATCTGGATATTTCAATGGCCGCTTTATTGTCTTCATGCATAATAAATGGTAAAGTGGGTTTCTTCCAAACATCAGTGATCAGATCATTGAACCATACAAGGTTATTTGCAGCCTTGGACAAACAAACATATTCCGCTTCTGTAGTAGAAGTGGCTACTAGTTCTTGTTTACCAGTATACCAGTAAACTGGACAATCATTCAATAGAAAAACATAACCAGAAGTACTCTTTCTGCATGATGTATCACCAGCCCAATCTGCATCAGCATAACAAGTAATTTTTGGTTCTCTGTCATTATTGGGTTCCAGCATTAAACAAAAATCTAATGTACCCTTCAGATATCTTAGAATTCTTTTGACAGCTTCCCAATGATACAAGGTTGGTTTACTAACATATCTTGACAATAGATTGAGAGGTAATGCAATATCTGGCCTAGTCCAATTAGATATATAAAGGAGTGAACCTATAACTGATCTGTAAAATGTGTTGTCTTTAAACTCAGGGGAAGATTCATCAGTGTTTCTAAGAAAATCAGTTTGCATAGGGGTGTCACAGGTTTTGGCATTATTTAAGTTACATTTGTTTAGGAGTTCGATGATTTTATCTTTCTGTGTAAGTTTGAATCCCCTTTTAGTTTTGTTAATTTGCACACCAAGGTATTTATTCACTTTACCCAGAGATTTCAGTGAGAAGTGTTCATTTAACTTATTTACAAAGATTTCCCTGCTCTCTTTATGCTTTCCAATGTATAAAATATCGTCCACGTAAATTAATACAAATTCAATATGATCATTACTCTTTTTTACAAAGAAACAATTATCAGCAGTGGTGGCGTTGAAATCCATGGTCTTAAGTACTTTTACCAAGCAATCGTACCATCTTTTGCCGGATTGCTTTAATCCGTACAGACTCTTATTTAATAACCAAATTTCGTTCTTATTAGTGTATTGACTGTGTGGTGCTCTTACATATATTTCCTTATCTAATTTTGCATGTAAGTATGCGGTCTGTATGTCATATTGGAATACGTCCAGATTGAGTGCAGATGCTACTACAAGGGCTGTTTTGACACTCTCTGTTCTCACTGTGGGTGAATATGTATCAGTATAGTCTTCTGGATATTTTTGTGCATAGCCTTGTGCAACTAGTCTAGCCTTGTATAAGGTATTGCCTCCTTCTAAGTTCTTAATTTTATAAATCCACCTGGTACCTATAATTGTTTTATCCTTAGGTGCGATCGCAGGTGTGAATACATTTAATCCTTGTAAACTTTCCATCTCTTTTTCCATAGCTAGTTCCCATTTTTCTCTTTCTTCATGTGGAAGTTTCAATACTTCTTCATATGTATTAGGTGTTATTTGTTCTCCATTCATATGCATTATGTAATCTTTGTATTTATTTGGTATTTGGTTTCTATTGTTTCTAATAGTTCTTTCAGGCTTGCTATGGTTATCATGCAAATATCTAGCTTCCTTTTTTGTTAATGTGTCTGTCTTTATTTTATGCTGACTATTAGTCCAAGTTTTGGTTTTGTTCTTACTTTTGTTAATATTTTGATTTTCTGTTGCTCCTTCCTCGCAAGATATCGTATCTTTACATTTATTAGGAAATATTTCATTAAGGTGCAATTTTGACCAATTGGCCTGTTCATGGAACACAGCTGTTCTGGATACTATAAATTTGTTATTACTATCAATAAATCTGTACCCTTTGGTTCCAGTTTCGTATCCCATGAATCTTAATCTCCTGGATACGTTTTCTCCCTTTCTCCTCAATTGTTTAGGTATGTGTACGTCTGCAGTGACTCCAAATATGTGCATGTGTGATAATTTGGGTTTTCTATTGTACATCACCTCATATGGTGTCTTATTCACAATACTGGACCAGGTTCTATTTTGAGTGTAATTCGAATAATGTAATGCCTCTGACCAAAATTGTTTGCCTAAACCAGCATCCTCTAATGTGCACCTAATCATGGTTTGTAGTGTGGAATTTTTCCTCTCTGCAACTCCATTTTGAAATGCAGAAAAAGGATTGGACGTGAAATGTAACATTCCTCTATCCTTTAACCATTGGGAGAATTCTTTAGACATGAACTCACATCCCCTATCTGTCATAATTTGCTTTATTCTGATATTATGTTGTGTTTCTATACGTTTGTAGAATTCCTTAAATTTCTGAAATGTTTCATCCTTGTGCTTTAATGTGTAAACAAAACCATATCGGCTGTAGTCATCCACTATTGTTAGGAAGTAACGTTTTCTATAGGTAATTGAGGGACTTAATGGACCAACTAAGTCCATATGTACCAAATCAAAAATATTGTTAGTTGATCTGTTAGATTTTTTTGGTCTGGGACTGGTTTTTAGTTTGGTGGATTTACATACTGAGCATTCCAAATAATTTTCACAATTTTTTATTTTGACACCTTCTGCGTGTTCAGTCATTTTTTGTACTACAGGAAAGCTTGCATGTCCTAACTTCCTGTGTAAGATGTGAGCACACTCATCATGAATTGGTTTACCTATTTTTGGTTTCTTTTCTTTGTATGTATTTTTGTGATCATGAGTTATTCTACACTCATCATTGTCACTGTTACTGACATTTTCATCATCTGCTTCAATATAATCTTCCATATTTGAATCAATGTTATGTAAACATCTTTCTTTAGTTATCAGATAGGGTAGACCTCCTTTTATCATTACAGTACCTACATTTGTTTTGTTCTTTTCTATAGTTGCTTTCCCTTTTGAGAAAACTATATTGATATCAGATTCTCTGCTTAATTTTATGGCACTTAGTATGTTGTGAGGTATTTCTGGGATTAATAATACCCCCTCTATTTTCCCTAGACCAGGCAAGGTCACATTTCCTTTGCCTAGTACTTGAACCTTTTCTTGATTAGCTACCTTTATCACAAACTTATCTTCTATAAATGAAGATAATATACTTTTGTTGTTGGTGGTGTGATTTGTTGCACCAGAATCAATAAGCCAATTGTTATTCTCATCCTGCTGTGTTCTGGTGCTGTCTTGTTTATTTAGCCCATTCAGTGACCCAGATTTCCTCTCTTTTGAATTTTCTCTACCCCCTCTACCTTCTTTGTAATTTGGTGGACTTCTATATTTGTGTCTATCTGTGGAAGATTGTCTGTAATTATATTTGCTCCTATATTCTGGCCTATGTCTCTCTCTTGAGACTTTGGGACAGTCTCTTCTACTATGTTCCCTGGATCCACAATTGTAGCATCTAAAGGCCTCATTATGTTTATCTTGAAAGACTACTTTCCTAAAAGGTTTGTGGTCTGTTTGGTTACTGGATCGATTTTTTCTTGAATTGTCTTCTGCTATCAATTTGTTAGATAGACTTTCTATGGATAAATATCCCAAATTAATGGTATCTAAGTGTGACATAAAGCTATCCCATGATGGATCAAGTGAATTGATAATAACACTTTTCATTGTTTGATCTGAAATCACTTCCCCCCTCAATTGTAGCTCAGCTCTTATTTTGTTTAGATTTATCAAATGCTCACTTATAGAAACCCCTGGTTTTACTCTAGAGGAAAAGAAATCCTTAGACATTCTTGTGGTTGTAGCTACGCTATCGCTGTGAAATAGATTAAACATGCATTGAATTATTTCTGATACAGTTAGGTTTGGTTTGATGCTATGATATATTGCAGGAGACACGCTAGATATTATTATGAAAAATGCTCTATGATGTAAACAATCTATTTTTAAAGTCCAAGGTCTTCTTGG